GCCATGGTCCGTTGTAGTTTAGTGGTTTTTGTGAATTTCGTTCATATTCCCTGATTCCCCTTTGTATTATCACATCCTAATCCTCCATATGTATTGTTCGTTGTTATAGTAGGTCGTCCTCGAAGATATCATATTTTTATGTATTTTATTTAGGACTCTGGACCTAGCTGTCTTCCCACATGTTTTCAGGTTTCTAACTTCATGTCCTTGTATCTCATTCATTTCTGGATGTTTTCTCACGTTCTTGGTTTTTATTTATTCCCACCTTTCCAATGGTACTAAAGTTGTGTTCTATTTCCCGGTATTCGTTGAGTTAGCAAAAGTTCGCGTGCACATTCGGTAATCACGTGCATCATTCCCATAGTTGTTCATATGCAGGCACTGTTTCCGTTTAATTGTTCGGGATTTATGATATGTGCAGGTGTTTATATCTTTCATATGGGCTTCTGTGATTTATTTCAGATTTTTCCCTCATGATCTAAGGTTGTTTTGCACTTTCCGTGCTTTGTTTTGACCGGGCTCTTCCTTATTTGGATGGAAATTGGTCTTTGCGATCTGCTGAAGTGCGGATCTCGGTTCCGACAGCCGGTTCCCTTTGCATAGCCACCCTCACGTGTCATTAAACATGATGCGGATTTCTGTATTCCTGTCATGGGTATAACTTCAGGAAAGTAGTTTCCGTGGAGGTTCTCTGATTGTTTTTATAGTCAAATCTTGGTCGATTGTCCTAATTCTTTGTTTAATATTTGCTATAAATTCCCCCGAGAATTCCGTCTCGTTGATGCTAAGCTTGAAGTATTTTTGCTAATTTTCTTTCTTTCGATTTATCATGTATAGTCATAATAATTCGTAAAAATTCATAGAAATTCATTAAAATTCAGGTCCTTCTATTTTCTCATATCTACTTGTCGTATGAGGTTTTGTGATTTATCTGGCATATTTCCATAAATAGTGTGACCGTTATTTCTCCTACACCAGATGGCAGAGTATGTCAGGTGGTACGTACGCAGGTGCGACACCTGCAACCACGTCAAATCTTTCCCCTCACGAAAAGTTGGGAAGCTCACCCCAAACAAGGTCCCCACCCGTCGCTGGCAAGTGATCCCAGTAGACATGGTGGGAGAGCTCCCAGGGTCCAAAGGCTATAATGCCATCCTGGTGGTAGTACACCACCTGTCCAAGCGTACCCACGCGGTCCCCACTGTGACGACTGTAGACTCGGAGGGTATTGCACAGCTCTTTCTAGAGCACGTCTGGAGGCACCACAGGCTCCCAGAGGAGATCCTCAGCGACAGAGGGAGTGCCTTCGTCTCCCGCTTCTCGAAAGAGCTTGCGGACCTTCTAAGTGTCAAGCTGACCCCTTCAACGCCCTACCACCCCCAGATGGACGGACAGACTGAGTGGGTCAACCAAGAGATCGAAGCTTATCTCTGGGTGTTCGTCAACCATCGACAGGACGACTGGGCGGACTGGCTCCCACTGGCGGAATTCTCCTACAACAACTGCATTGTCAGGGCACGGATGGTTATCTGGCTGGCCCGGACCCCTATCCAGATAGGTTGAGTACCTGTAAGCCGATATCTGTGTGTGATTTGCCGTAGTTAGAACGCAGGTTGTATTCAATGCGCTATTTCCGCTATCGCATCATCCCTTACCCATTATCGCCCCCTTATCTGCATGATCTATTCTCCTATTTCATGTCGCTTCTCTATTGGCTACCATGTGTTCCCAATGTAGCCGCGCTCTTATGAGTTGCAGAACTCATGTATATAAGGCCTTATCGCCAGCTGGGTTGGCCCCCCAGCTTTTACAATGACTAGTTTCCCAGGGAGATTCTTATGTGCGAACTGACGTGCGGACTCTGACATGCATCCACTCATCCACCCACTGTGTCAGGGCCCGGCCTCGGACTCAGAGGCTCCCTGACCTCAACCCCCATCTGGCCTGTCCTCACACTATGCGGGGCATGAGATGTATAGTCAAAGAAAGGGAATATATACACTTGCCTATGCGGGGCATGAGATGAGAAGAAGGGTAAAGGTCTCATCTCCCCGCATGGTTGCTATATAAAGGAATGGGTCACATGCCCACAACTATACAGCTCTTAGAGTTGTGTAGTGTGACCCGGAGGGAACATCCAGGTGGCAGTGCCAAGCGTGGGAACGTTCTGGGTGAGTTGCTTGCCCAGAACTGTGGCTGTGACCCGTGGGAACATTCTGGGCAAGCTGCTCGCTCAGAAAGTTCCTGCGCTATCCCGTGCACGCATGTACACAACACACAAAGGCAACAACAAGGCAACAGTCAAAAGAATAAAAGGGGGTAAAGTAGGTGGGGAGTCCGGGGCACCCTAAGGCAGGGTGCTGAACCCTGACACACTGCCACTGAACTCCTTTCGAACTCGACACCAGCCAACACCCCAGGATGGGGACAGAGCCCACATGCACATCCGAGGTGGAAGCTGCTGATGCATTCTCATCAAGGATGATGAAAATGCAAGAGGAGGCAAAGGCCGCACTGGAACATGCAGCAGATGAGATGGCCTGTTACTACGACCGAGACCGCGAAACAGCCCCAAAGTACCAAGAAGGCGACCGAGTCTGGCTCAGCACACAAAACTACATGACTGACCGGTGAAGGAGCGGAGCTGGATCACCTTATGTAACGAGTTTCCTACGTCCAATAACGATATTAGAGTTTGTGCTGATTTGCATACTGACCGTGTTTTGGTTGCCAAATATATAATTGTTCACTGTCTAAACAACAATAAACACCCCCCAACGATCTCACCTGACGTATAGATTGTCTATGGATAAAATTCTATATTGACTTTACTATGATTTCTAGTCAATATTACACCTAGATATACCACTTTTCAGTAGGACGTGATTTTCCTGATAATTTACTGAAAGAAAACTACTAATAAAATAATTCTGCAATAAATGTTACTCAATACAGGAGTGACCAAACTGCTCTTTCTATCGCTTAGAGTGCGTGCTAGTTATCTAGCAGGTTCAGGATCACTCACTTTTCTCCTGTGGTGTGATAACCAAGTATTGCTGAGAGATTATTCAATTAAGAAGTCCCTCCACCAAATTCTCACTAATTCTCACTATGACACTTTTGTTCAGCTGTGTCTAACTGACCCTAACTCACGCTTAGAGTGACGTGTTAGTTTTATATTAGCTAACAACTAATATTTTCTTTTATCTTTTGGAGCAAACGAATCAACCACTGGTGAGGAGAATTAAACTTTTATTTCTACCTGAGGTTTGAGAGGGGGCAGAAGCGGCGGCCTTTTATGCTTTTCAGAGGCCTCTCTACTCCCACGCCTCGCACTAGTTACATGTGCTACATTTGTATTATAGATAGTTCTAGAATGATATAGGGGCTTGGGCTGTGTAAGCTTAATAATGGACTTAGGACATGACTCAGCAATAAGTAATTCATTTCTTTGTTTGTTGGGCCGATCTTAGCGGGATCTTGTAGCGCTGAGGCTATGCTCTACACCGCTCTAATTACGAATGGTTATCTTTAGAAATGACTCGGCTATAAAGGAACTTTCTAGTTGACCCCTTTTTGTGAAGCTGGATCATTACTAATGTTCTAGAGCCTTCCCAATTAATTAACTGATCCGCGAACTTCTGAATCACTTTATGCTTATGATCCGAGATCCAGATCATCAATCATTCCTTTGTTCCGATTTATTTGAGCTTAAAATCAAAAAGTTTTGATGAATCATGGGAAAATATACAAGATCCAGTTTTTTAGCATTTTCTCCTCTTCTGATGCAATCAAAAACTGTCCGCGCGCGCCGGAGAATACTCTATCATATGGTATTCGGTCCGCCAGACTTCCGGGCGCCAGTATATTTCCCTTGAGTCACATTACTTTTTGTAAGAATTAGCAAATAAATATATATGAATTATAAGGTGTTTCGCCGTTTGAGCAATATCTCCGTCAGTTTTGAAGCTTTTAGAATGAAACAAAACCGTGGATAAACTTAAGAAACAGTCCTTTTAGATGGTAAAAAGATTACAGTCAAAGGTTTACTGGTTCCTGAGATATTTACATTTCTTTCCCAATGTTCCTTCTTATTCTGCTGTCTATGTGCTATCTTCTTGTTGTAGGGATATATTCTTTGAATATTACACCTATGCCAGGTTCTAGGCATGATTGTAGTAGATTAAATCTCATGCTACATGGGTGTAGATAATTTATAATGATCTAATGTCTGTCCAGTCTCATAAAGATCATGAGATCTGTTAAACGTCTGAACTTGTCACCTGTTCGTTGACTATTCTGATAGATCATTGTTTTATTCTTTGAATATTATTTCTCCTACACTGCCCAACCAAAAAGTTGGACCACAAATGGCTTGGCCCCTTCAAAATCATCAAAGTCATTTCCCCTGCTGCCGTCAAACTCCAACTTACCACACACCAGAAGAGAATCCTGTCATGACCCGACATATCCATCACTTCCCTCTACGTATCCTAGTGCCACTTGGCCCATCCCTCCCGCTATCATCATCATCCGTCCACCCATTCATCCACCTGTCACCCTCATCTGCACTTCCTCCCTCATGCTGTTGCAGGGATAAACCCTTGCACTACAAAACAGTGCTCTTTCCTTCTTTCATGCACATACAGTGGTGAGTGTAGTTGTGGTAATCCCGTGACTGCACAGCCACAACTATACAGACCATACTACAAGGACCTTTGGTGAGGCAGGCAGGAGACTACTGTCCCCCCTGTGAGCCTGTGTGACGTTGGGATTCATTCCCTGTTACAACAGTGGTGGTCCTTACAGGGGGGATTGATACAGTTTTCTGCCATGTGGACATCATCTTTTTCTTTCATGCAACATCGCCATCATTTTCTGTGCTGAGCTTGATTCACCTGTGGACATCGACTACTACATCACTGATTACAAGAGTTACAAGAAGAGACAAAGTACAAGCCAAGATCTATGCATTCCAGAGTCTAAAGTCACAAGTCACCATGGCTGCGCCCCCTGGCAGTCCCAAGATGGGGCACAGCATCAGCAAATGGTCCACGTTCAATTTGGCCACTTCTGTTGAATATGTCCACCAGAAGTGGCCAGACTGCCCAAAGTGCCCAAAGCAAAATAAACCAGGTCCCTCCAATTCAATTTCAGGGCTAAACTCAATGGCTCCAAGGGCAATTCCCACAGTTGTACAGCTCAAAACAATTAAGTTTGGTCCTGAAATTGAATTGGAGGGACCTGGTTTATTTCACTTTGGGTACTTTGGGCAGTTTGGCCACTTCTGGTGGATATGTCCACAAGAAGTGGCCAAACTGAACGTGGACCATTTGCTGATGAGGGGTGTGTTTGTCGCTGCTCAAGGGAAAAGAGTCCCCTCCTGGCGGATCCTATGATAGGGCACAGGAGCTTGTGTTTGGGATCCATGAGTGGTCCACACAAGTTGCATGGGTATACACCAGCATGAGTTGATTGAACTGCCTGGCAGATCCCAAGATGGGGCACAGGAGTTCTTTGTTACCACTAAGTCAATGGTTGTTCTGCCTGGCAGATCCTATGATAGGGCACAGGGGACACCATTTGGTTGCCAACATTTAAAGTTTCGCCAAGTTTCTCAAGTTTTACCCAAGTTCGATGTGCCATTAGTCCTCGATTACACGATTCATGACCCCCTCCCCCAGTCAGACGCCATTTGTCAGAGTTTGGGAATATTGTCAGAGACTGGGATATTGTCGGAGTCAGAATACTGTCAGAGTCGGAACACTGTCAGAAGGCAGATAGAAGACGGATTAGGTTCTGTCTGAGTTGAGGTCGGAGTTGATGCAGAGGTCTGTTGGAGCGCACACGCAGATATGCTGGCGGAAATATGTGGCACATCCGGAAGTGCTGTTCAAAGTTAACAAAGTAGGATCATGGCCTCAGTGACTCAGGTGGAGCGCTGTGCCCTGAGCTTGACGTTTGGGGAAGATCCCGTATTTACAGACTGACACTTACAGCGGACTTCAAACAAGACTTGCAGGTGGAGCGGACCTGTAGGAGGAGTGCGGACTCCACAAGCACGGACTCAGAGGGGGGGAAGCCCCCTTTGCAGAAGGAGGGACTCAGGGGGGGTACTCTAGTTGATTTCAGACTAAGGTCCCTGAAAGTATTTACAGGATATAAATAGGCAGGAGGGAAACACAGAAGGACAGGAGAAATAATATTCAAAGAATAAAACAATGATCTATCAGAATAGTCAACGAACAGGTGACAAGTTCAGACGTTTAACAGATCTCATGATCTTTATGAGACTGGACAGACATTAGATCATTATAAATTATCTACACCCATGTAGCATGAGATTTAATCTACTACAATCATGCCTAGAACCTGGCATAGGTGTAATATTCAAAGAATATATCCCTACAACAAGAAGATAGCACATAGACAGCAGAATAAGAAGGAACATTGGGAAAGAAATGTAAATATCTCAGGAACCAGTAAACCTTTGACTGTAATCTTTTTACCATCTAAAAGGACTGTTTCTTAAGTTTATCCACGGTTTTGTTTCATTCTAAAAGCTTCAAAACTGACGGAGATATTGCTCAAACGGCGAAACACCTTATAATTCATATATATTTATTTGCTAATTCTTACAAAAAGTAATGTGACTCAAGGGAAATATACTGGCGCCCGGAAGTCTGGCGGACCGAATACCATATGATAGAGTATTCTCCGGCGCGCGCGGACAGTTTTTGATTGCATCAGAAGAGGAGAAAATGCTAAAAAACTGGATCTTGTATATTTTCCCATGATTCATCAAAACTTTTTGATTTTAAGCTCAAATAAATCGGAACAAAGGAATGATTGATGATCTGGATCTCGGATCATAAGCATAAAGTGATTCAGAAGTTCGCGGATCAGTTAATTAATTGGGAAGGCTCTAGAACATTAGTAATGATCCAGCTTCACAAAAAGGGGTCAACTAGAAAGTTCCTTTATAGCCGAGTCATTTCTAAAGATAACCATTCGTAATTAGAGCGGTGTAGAGCATAGCCTCAGCGCTACAAGATCCCGCTAAGATCGGCCCAACAAACAAAGAAATGAATTACTTATTGCTGAGTCATGTCCTAAGTCCATTATTAAGCTTACACAGCCCAAGCCCCTATATCATTCTAGAACTATCTATAATACAAATGTAGCACATGTAACTAGTGCGAGGCGTGGGAGTAGAGAGGCCTCTGAAAAGCATAAAAGGCCGCCGCTTCTGCCCCCTCTCAAACCTCAGGTAGAAATAAAAGTTTAATTCTCCTCACCAGTGGTTGATTCGTTTGCTCCAAAAGATAAAAGAAAATATTAGTTGTTAGCTAATATAAAACTAACACGTCACTCTAAGCGTGAGTTAGGGTCAGTTAGACACAGCTGAACAAAAGTGTCATAGTGAGAATTAGTGAGAATTTGGTGGAGGGACTTCTTAATTGAATAATCTCTCAGCAATACTTGGTTATCACACCACAGGAGAAAAGTGAGTGATCCTGAACCTGCTAGATAACTAGCACGCACTCTAAGCGATAGAAAGAGCAGTTTGGTCACTCCTGTATTGAGTAACATTTATTGCAGAATTATTTTATTAGTAGTTTTCTTTCAGTAAATTATCAGGAAAATCACGTCCTACTGAAAAGTGGTATATCTAGGTGTAATATTGACTAGAAATCATAGTAAAGTCAATATAGAATTTTATCCATAGACAATCTATACGTCAGGTGAGATCGTTGGGGGGTGTTTATTGTTGTTTAGACAGTGAACAATTATATATTTGGCAACCAAAACACGGTCAGTATGCAAATCAGCACAAACTCTAATATCGTTATTGGACGTAGGAAACTCGTTACATAAGGTGATCCAGCTCCGCTCCTTCACCGGTCAGTCCAGCGCGGTCCGGCACGGAAATAAGCAGGGATTGTCAAACTGAATGAAGGACAAGAGCCCGGGAAATGGGAGGTGTCAGAGACCAGATTCGAGACGAGGGAATGTCTCTGTAGTGGAGGGTTTCGGCCTCAGCGACTTCTGCCAAGAGCGCTGTGCCTAGTGACATGTCCGTGCCCTAACTTACTGACTGGTAATTAGAACCTAAGGGGGGTAACTCTAGTTGATTTTATTACTGGAGTGTAACCTATGTACAAGCGGGATATATATATGGTTACAGCGAAGACGGGTCCGCAATTGGCAGAGCCGAACGGAGCAGAGCTAACAGGGTTAAACATTAGCCGACTGAATATTACCGATGAGTCGGGTCGTGGGGTTAGCGGAAAGGCAGGCGATAACCCAGAAACAGAAAGGAGGGATAAGCCCGAAGGTGGGCTCTGCAGGGCAGGCGATTGTATTGCCCAGCGGAGGCGGGGGTGCGCTAGTGGACGTTGGAGCTGTCCGGAAGTCTTCAGGGCTCTGTACTTAGGGAGGTGTAGGTAATAAGTTGAAATGAGGGGGTGGTGACCATCGAGGGGTGCTGAGAGGATTGCGGAATACGGGGGCTCCGAGGTTAGTGAAGGAGGAGTGGAGTTAGACCAGAGGGAACGGAGGGACCGGAAGTCAATGGCCGGGAATGGATATGACAGGAGGCAATAAACTAAACAAAAGTGGATCAAGTGCCACCAATATTGACAGGTAATAAGAAGTGCATCAGCACATGGATCAAGTGCCAATATTGGCAAGTTAAGTGAATGAATGGTATGCTGCCAAGTGACAAGATGGCCAGAGAAAAGCAGAGGTCAGCGCGCGGTGCCGATACAAGTCCGCAAATAAGCAGGGTCAGTGCGGTGCCGACACAAGTCCGTGAAGGGACATGGAAATCAGTGCAGTGCTGACAAGTCCGCAACAGAGGGTGGTCCATCAGTGCTGTCACAAACAAGGGCAGCATGATGGCCAGCAAGGTCGGAGGGGAGTGTTGGCCTGACCACAGGGTGTGGAGGGCAACCAGGAGTGGCAGAGGTCCAGAGGGTGTGGAGGTGGGCAGAGGTACAGATGCGGGTGGAGGTCCGGATGCGGGCAGAAGTCCGGATGCAGGTGTCATATCCATACAATCCCGACCTCCACTCCGGGCTCCCGGAACTCCGAACCTGACTTCCAGAGTCTTACTTCCCTTCCGTCACCTCCTCCTTGCCGACTCCCAAGAGGTTATCCCACCTCCGGCTCTGACACCACCTTCAGTCTGACTCTGGGAACATTCCGGGTCCGACCCCAACCTCGACACCTTCCAGATGAGTACGCAAAACCTATGCTCCCAACTCCGGACCTCCACTCCGGAATCCCGTTCGCATCTCTGTCTCCGGAACCTCCGGTCTTAGCTCCAACCTCGGACTTTGACCCCACCTCCGCTTATACCCATTGTATTGGTTAGCTCATTCCATTTAATTACGTTCGCCAATATTCCGGAGTTTAACTTCCGAGTTCGGACTTTCCGGACTTACCTCGGACCTTGCAACTATTGCATTGTCCTATTCAATTCCGCTATTCTCCCTCATTCCTATTTGGGCTGCTGCTTCCTTTCTATTCAGTCAGCTAGCCATTCCCCACTCCCAACCTCCTTCCTTCCTCCTTGGGCCTTGGCCCTTCATTCCTCCTTTGAGAAACACCATTGAGTCAAACCCTTGACCCTCAGTGTTGTTCCTCTTTCCATCTCCCTTTGTCTCCTTTCATCCTACCCTTGTTCCTTTTGATTCCGGACCCCTCCTTATATACAATGTACCTAGTAACTTGTAACCTCAGTCCGAAATCGACATGAATTCCCCCCAAGAGACTTTCCCTCTGCTAGATCCGAAATTAGGGACCCCTAGGACAACCAGCAATGGCACAGCGCTCCGCCTGAGTCGCTGAGGCCAAGGTCCTTCCACGCTAAGTCTCCGATTCCACTCCGGAGTCGTCCGAATCCACCTGGTTCTAACAGCAGGTGGAGGTCTGGATGCAGTGCATGGTTGATGGGGCAGGGGGCCAGACATTGGATTGGGGCTGGTTAGATGTCAGGGACACGTCCGGGGTGGAGGGGGCCTGGCTGTAGTGCCTGGCAGAGGGACCCTCTCGGGGGACGAAGCGGGCACATGTACTGACAGGCCCAATCTGGGACTGTAGTCCCTGGCCACTTGGACTGAAGTGGAAAACGTGAATTGTTATTAAAAGGAAGAACTACACTACTTACCTGAAGTGGAAAACGTGAGAAGAAGGTTACTTCTTCAGTTCCCACTTCAGGTACATTTATGTACATGCGGCTTGGGTCACATGACGAGTGCCACATCATCTACGGAGAGAGCCGCAGCCATCCGGGTATCCCCGCGGGGGATCCCGAGGGCATTCGCTGCAGGTGTGCGTGCTGGGCATAGTGGGAAGTTGTCCGGGGTGTCCGAGCCGGATGGGTCAACAGTACAATGATACAAGGGAAGGTGGTCCGTGTAAATAGAAAGAATAAACAGAAAGGGAGAATGAAATAAAGGAGAAAGAGA